AGCAGGCCACGTCAGCAGGCCACGTCAGCAGGCCACGTCAGCAGACCACAGAAGCAGGCCAAGTCAGCAGGCCACGTTAGCAGCAGGGAGTGCCATGTCAGCAGACCCCTGGCCTGGTCTATGCTCACGCGCTCGCAAACAGCCGTTATGGACCAAAAGTCCGGGGAAACGAACGAGGCCTATCAGGCCCGGATGCTGCTTCTGATTACCGAAGCCAAGCAACGGTCGGATGCAGTAGCAGCCGCAGCAAAGAAGAAGGCAGAGGATGCCAAAGGCCTTAAGGCAGAGGACGCCGAGAACAGCAGCGCCAGCAAGACGAGGAAGCAGCAAAGGCTGCTGATGAAGAACGAATTCAACGACGCGAAACGATATTCAGAGGAGAGCGAGCATTGCTCACAATGGTAGCGGACTGGCGGGCTGAGGCCGAGAATGGTAAGATGGAAGAGAGTGAAAGCAAGATCGCTCGACTCCTCTCCCATCTCACGGATCTCCTGACAACATCCATTACACAGCAGGAGGACATCCACAGCCTCGACGACGCGTTGGCTCAACTCAACAGCCGCCTCCAGCAGCTGGAGCAACGACCCGTCGCCGCCCTCGATTCCAGCTTCTCCAACACCTTTGATCGCCTCAATGCATTGGAGATCGACGTCGGCGCCCTCAAGGACGACACGCAGCTACAGCAAACCGCCATGCAACAACTGGAGCAGCGGATCTGTGCTATCGCCGCCAACCCTAGTTTGGCACCGCTCGAGACGACTCCAAGGTTCGACGATCAGGAGATCTTCTGCGATTCGACGAAGACGGAGTCCAACCCGATTTTGTGGTTCTGCAAGTTCGAGCTCAAGTTGCAGCTACACCAAGTCAGCGAGGACAAGCATCACACATACTTACTCCCGGTCGGGGGGCGCATGCCAAGCATGGTTGGACAATCTTTTGTCCAAGTACGGGGTGGTGTCTGCCGACTTGTACACCAAGATCAGCTGGGATGATCTAAAGGCAGCGTGGCATAAGCGGTTCCAAGTAGAGCCGCCAGAGATCAAGGCAATGGACAAGTTGATGACCTTCGAACAAGGCATGCTGTCGAGCATTGACTGGATTGTCGAGTATCAACGCTTGACATCCGTCCCAAACATTCAAATGGGCTTCAAGGCCGTCAAACACTACTTCATATTGAGGTCGTGTCCAGCGTTGGGCAACGCCTTGACTCACGTCAAGGACACCCTGACGACAATGGCGGAGCTCTTCGACAAGGCCGCGCAGACTATTGTCACGAACAAGGAGGCTAAGAACCTCCATCGTTCGGAGATCAAGGCAATGGACAAGTTGATGACCTTCGAACAAGGCATGCTGCCGAGCGTTGACTGGATTGCCGAGTACCAACGCTTGACATCCGTCCCAGACATTCAAATGGGCTTCAAGGCCTTCAAACACTACTTCATCTCGAGGCCGTGTCCGGCGTTGGGCAACGCCTTGACTTACGTCGAGGACACCCTGACGACAACGGCGGAGCTCTTCGACAAGGCCGCGCAGATTATTGTCACAAACAAGGAGGCTAAGAACCTCCACCTTTCGTCTGCGAAAGGCCCGACCAGAGATCAGCATCGGCCGAAAGTGGTCGTGGTCGCGGCGGCAATGTCAACCAACCAATCTAGCGAGGCCGTGTCTGCCAATGAAGAGGACAGACCCGCAGCCGCCCGGGATGGTGGCCGCCCCGACAAAGGCTGAGGACGCGGCAAGACGAAGACAAACACCGCATCTATCCTCGGGCCCGGCACAGCAGCTCCAGCCCCATGGTCCCACTACGGTCTCTCCGAACAAGCGTACACGGCACCCACGAGATTCCGCTATTGTCTATGGTGCAACAGCGACCTCCATGAGACAGTGGGCTGCCTGTCGAAAGGCAAAGGCAAATCGGGAAACAGAGCATCACCAGGAGTGAGTTGACGACACTCTCGACGCCTTCGAAACCGGTCGCTTCGCGGGTAACCGCCCTTCGTTCTGAGGCACACGCGGAAGTCGATAGTCCTCTTCTTATGTATTCTTATGAGGACTATGCTGCCCGACTCGTCCCTACGCTGGGTACTCATGCTCAAGGACAAGACGTGTGTGCGGCATCTTCTCCGTCCGACAGCGGTGATGAATCGTCTTCAAGTGGTTCTTCATGAGATTCGACGCGCGAGTTCAATATAGAGGTATTGAACCCGCTCACGTCCGAGGATTTCGCATGGTTTCCTCTCCCGACCACGGGCCGCTTGCCGGGGCCACAATGCGCAGCATTATGCGCTCATCTTCACACGTACTTATCCTTCTATGCACCACCAACTTCCGCGACGGATGACGAAGTCGCGGTGGGGGTCATCCTTGCGTATGTTACCAAGGTGGCCCGCGAGTTTTGCGAGCAGCGGTACGATGACAACAACGCACCGCTCCTCTATGTCCGCATTTAAGTTGGGCAAGCGTCCTGCAGCGCTTTGTTGGATAGTGGCATGTCTCGCAATGTTATGAGCCAAGCCTTTATGCAAAGGGCTGGCCTTGGCGCACAAGTTCGGAGGAAGGCAAACCGGACGGCAATCAAGTTGGCGGACGGAAGGACGCAACAACTTATCGACCGTTATATCGAGGTCGTACCAGTGTGTTTCGCACCTCGTGCATGCGAACCAGTGACGTTCGACATTTTGGACACGGACTTCGATATCATTTTGGGGATGCCTTGGCTTGCAAGTGCGGATCACATGGTCAACTTCCACCGGCGGACTCTTACTGTCCGGGACGCCTTCGGCTCCGAAGTGTCGTGTACTATTCCTCTTCCCCACCCTTGGATTCGGTGCCAAGTGGTGACGGCCAAGTCCTTCCGGGCTACTTGTGCTTTCGAGCAGCCCCACGAAATTGGCCTATGTTTCCTACGGACCATCACGGTAGCCGACTCTTCACCCACGGACTTGTCTTCGGACCGTTGCTTGACGAGTTCGCCGACATCTTCGAGATACCTAACGATGTGGTGCCGGATCGGCCGATCTCAAACGAGATCATTGTTGAGGCCGGTGCCGTGCCGCCGAAAGGTTGCATTTATCGCATGAGCGAGGAGGAGCTTACGGTCCTCCGCGTGCAACTGGATGACTTGTTGGACAAGGGCTGGATTCGCCCTAGTGGCTCCCCATATGGAGCGCTAGTCCTCTTCCTACAGAAAAAGAACAAGGATCTACGATTGTGGATTGACTACCGCAAACTCAACGCGCGAATCGTCAAGAATGCGGGGCCTCTTCCTCGTATCGACGATCTTCTTGAGCGACTGGGCGGCGCACAATACTTTTCTAAGTTGGATTTGACGTCGGTATATCACCAGATTTCGATCCGGCCGAACGATCGCTATAAATCCGCGTTCAAGACGCGATATGGGCATTTTGAGTGGGTGGTCATGCCTTTTGGCCTCACCAACGCCCCGACGACCTTTCAAGCGGCAATGACCAACGAGTTCCGTGCAATGTTGGACCGGTTCGTGCTGGTCTACTTAGACAACATTCTCGTCTATAGTCGAACATTGGAGGATCATCTTGAGCACCTTCGACGCCACGCCAAGTACAAAGCCAATCACCTCAAGTGCGAATTTGTCCGGCAAGAGCTGAAATACTTGGGCCATTTTGTCACACCGGAGGGCATCAGTCCGTTATTGGACAAGATTCAAGCCATCCAAGAGTGGCCGGAGTCGCGGAACGGCACGGATGTCCGTTCGTTCCTTGGCCTTGTCGGCTACTACCAACGTTTTATCAAGGGATACTCGAAGATCTCGGCCCACTTGACCAAGCTTCAATGCGAGGATCGACTGTTTGACTTCGGAGAGGATGCGCGGGCATTATTTTTGGCCCGCAAAGCCGTGTTATTATCTGCGGAGGACTTGCGTATATATGATCCGCTATTGCCAACGCGCGTCACTACGAATGCGTCCGACTATGGCAGTAGTGTCGTCCTCAAACAACACGATGGCGTGGACTCGCCCCCGGTCGAGTACTTCAGCAAGAAAGTGCCCATCGTGCACTCAATCGATGATGCACGCAAGGAGATCCTAACCTTCGTCCACGCGCTCAAGCGGTGGCGGCACTTCCTCCTTGATCGAAGTCAATTTCGATGGGTAACGGACAACAATCCGTTGGTCTTCTAGAAGACCCAAAACACCGTCAATAGCACCATCGCCCGTTGGATGGCTTTCATCGACCAATTCGACTTCTTTCGTGATCACATTCCGGGGAAGTCTAACCTTTTTGCGGATGCTCTTTCACGGCGTTCGGATCATTGTACCGCAGTCTATTCAACCTTCGAGATCGGCGACGACCTGCGGGACAGCTTCATCCATGGCTTCCAAGCCAACCCCGAGTTTCGCGACAAGTACGCGAATTGCTCCTCTCTAATGCGACACCTTCTCACTGCCGGATCCAAGAGGGGTATGTGCTTGTCCACACGCGAGGGAAGGACCTTCTTTGCGTACCGAGTGACTCTCACTTGCGTACACGGCTTCTTGGCGAGTTCCACAATGCTCCCACCACCGGACACTTTGGAGTCAATCGCACGATTGGCCGACTTCGCGAGCGATTCTCGTGGCCCGACCTCCTCAGCAACGTCACACGCTATTGCGAGTCATGCAAGGTTTGCCAACGCTGCAAATCCCGCAACCATGATCCGTACGACAAGTTGCGTCCATTACCGGTCCCCTTGTGCCAAAGGGAAGCGATTGTCATGGACATTACCGGGTCGCTCCCCAAGCACAAGACCGGTGTGGATGCGATTCTCACGGTGGTCGACCGACTCACCAAGTTCGCCATGTTTTTGCCTTGCCACTATCATGCCAAGGCACCGGAGTTGGCCGAAGTTCTTTACGCCGGTTGGATTCGAACCAAGGGTTACCCCAAGGAAATCGTCTGCGACCGCGATACTCGCTTCATGTCCAATTTTTGGTTGGCGCTCGTCAAACGATGGGGCTCATCTCTCAAGCCAAGTTCGGCTCGCCACCCCCAAACCGATGGACAAACGGAGAGGGCGCATCAAACAGCATAGGTTCTCCTTCGCACTCTCATCTGTCCTGACCAAAACGATTGGGTTGAGCGGCTGCCGGATGTCGAGTTGGCATACAACTCGTCCATCCACCCGACTATCGGGATGTCGCCCTTGAGTTCGAGGACGACTCACCGGTCACTTCTTCATTGGACACAATCATTCCACGAGCGGCCGAGAGCGACGACCATTTTCTTTTCCTGCGTCGGATGCAAGAGCTACTTGTCAAGGCACACGACCAGATGGCTAAGACATAGCAACGCATGAGCCAACAGGCCAATCGCCAGCGTCTCCCTTGCCCATTCCGCGCCGGCGATCTCGTTTGGGTTTCCACCACGGAGTTCAGCCTTGAACAAGATATCTCTCGCAAGCTCCTCCCGAAATGGATGGGGCCCTGGCTGATCGTGGCACCAACTGGGGATGCACCCGAAGGACCTTCCGTCACTATTCAGGTGCCTGCCCACTTCCCCGTCTACCTGGTCTTTCATTGCTCCAAGTTGGCTCTTTACACGCCAGCGGAACATGACGATTTTCCCGGACGATGATCGCAAGACCCACCTTCTATGGACGGTTTTCAAGAGGTCGGCGACATCATCTCCCAGCGACACTACGGCAACAGGCCAACCGAGTACTTGGTACACTTTGCGTACTGCACTCACAAAGCTGACCGTTGGTTGACCCGTGTGGAACTCCAAGCAACAGCTCCAGATGTTCTCGCATGCTACAAATGCAAGATGCAAGGCAAGCCGGTATCTTGGGCTCCCTGTCGCACCCGCGTTCAGGTTCCACCTTCAGATCGCCAGCTTCGCCCTTGGCCCGACTTGACTTCATAAGGAGGGGGGGGTGTTACATGCTGCGCCTGCAATAGGCTGCATGGGCCATTTTCAGGCCCATGTCGTTTTCAGCCTGAAAGCCTGAAAACAAGGGCCTATAGGCCCTCTGTCATTTCAGCCTGAAAGCCTGAAAACAATGGCCTACAGGCCATGTGTTGTTTCAGCATAAAATAGGGCCTTTCCGGCCCTGAGTCTTTTCAGCCTGAAACGGAGGGCCATTTTCAGGCCATCATAAGACCGGCCTGCCCTGAAACTTAGGCACCAGACCAGGGTTTTAGCTCGGGCCATTTTTGGCCTATTTTCAAGACAACCTTTGTTTGAGCTTCAACCCCAGGGTCTGGCCCATTTTGGTATTGGCAAGAGCAGCCTCCTGGTCGGCCCAACACTATATAAGATCGGCCCGCCCTGCAGGCTGCAAGTAGTTCCTAGGTACTTCCAGGAGGTAGTCTTCAGCATTCGGCAAAAGCACTTTAGAGGAGCGCTGCAGTAGTAGTAGTAGCGCTAGCAGTAGTCTTCAGCGCTGGGCACTATTAGGAGGTAGAGGAGTACCAGAGAGAGAGAGAGATTGGGCGGAGGCCAGGGAGACTTACCGACAGCGTCGTAGCTCCAGCTTCGTCTTCGAAGTACCTGCAGCATCTTCACAAGTTAGTACCCGACACATAAGAGAGAGAGGAAGAGTTTTTCTTCTTCCTCTTCTCAGTCCACCATCTTACTCTCACCGTCTCGCTACCCGACTTCACTGCAGCAGCAGACTACGAGAGAGAGAGCTTGGTGGCAGTTGGATCCAGACTCGACATTGGACTTAAGACATTTGACGAGGGATTATCTGGGACTTGTACTGGAGATTTGGTGTTAACGACATTTCCATCTCCCTTCTCTTCTTCGTCTGATCCCCTCCTCCTCGTCTGTGTATGGTTTGGACCTGGCGCCTTCTTCCTCTGTATAGCGTCAACCCCCTTCCCACCTTGCGATAAGAATGATGCATGTTTGGTCTGTATTGCAACATTGATTGGGCTAGTCATCGGTACTCTAGCATTCTGCTGCGCTGTCTTATACTACGTGAGAGAGGTCAGTCCCGGTCAGGTCAGGACTTGTATCCAAATCTTCCACTTCGCTATAAAGCACCATTTTTGTCTGTATCAGGATGTACACTGCTTGTTGAGATTTCACTTGCACTGCATTGTCCATTCAGTCCTTTTCATCACATTGCAGACTTGTTTTTTTATGTACATCGCCCAACTGGGCATGTAACAGTTCCTGTAGTGACAGCTATGGTCGTAAGTCTAGGCTAGAGACCCTAGTTGACACGGTTCTGAATTGGAGTGAAAGCCAGGTGTGATTGATCGCTGGTGCATGGTGCACTGGGATCTGGAAAGTTTCGGTGAGAGTGGTGGCGAAAGCTTCAGACGGCTGTGGTAACCTGGTTGGATCGAAGGAGAAGGTCCTGCGGTCCGTAGAGAGTCAAACAATTAGTTAGTCAATCAGTGGGTGGAAGTCTTAAGTGGTGAAGAGTGGAACTATCACTTGGTTGTGCACCTTTCACCGTGGTGGCGGTACGAGCACCACCCCGTATACTAAGGTTTAAGAAGAGCAAGCCGCCACCCTGCTAAAGAGAGAAAAAGAGGCAAAAGGGAGTTGATTAAGCAGGCCAAGAAGTTGGCCTTGTTGGAGGAGCAGGCGGCGAAGAAGAAGTTGGAGGAGGAAATGGAGAGATTGAAGAAAGAGCCGGTAGAGGAAGAAGAAGAAGAAGAAGAGGAAGAAATCCCCTTGGAAAGAAATGTCAGAAGAGAAAGAGGGGAGTCGAGCGACACGAAGGAGGAGGACCAGAGAATGGAGAAGGTGTTAGAGTGGGTTGCTAACCTGTCTCTGGGAGAAGAAGAAGAAGCGATGTTACATGTCCCCAGGGCAGAACTGGAGGGGGTGATGAGGGAGTTGCAGGCGGAGGAAAATCCCCTACGCCGTCAGGTAATGGATGAAGACAAAAAACTGGAGTTGAAATTGCGCCTCGCAAGAGAGAAGAGGCAACGGTTGGAGGCAACAGATAAAATGGAGAAGGAATTGAGGGTGGTGGATGAGTAGAGAAGGCAGATGGAAGGCCAGGCAGAGCTACAGGGAAAAATAGAAATCCTGGCGCGGAACATAAAAATCCTGGCGAAGGCCCAACAAGAACAATTTTGGTTTGTGAGAGGCCAGGATATCGCCTTAAAATCCATACGTTTGGCCTTTAGAGAGTTTGCGCGAGAGATGATGATGCATGTGGGCACCGAGATGAAAGCGAGGTTAGAAGACACATCGATTTTGCACAGACGCCATAGAAGGCGGAAAGCTTGCTGCCCCAAAGGAGGAGAAAACCCGTCCTCGTAGGGAACTGGTAAAGGTGAAGTTCCCTGATTCCTACAGTGGAAAGAAGGAAGAGAACTTTGATAACTGGGAGGCGAATGTTAATTCTTACGTTCACCTTCAGACGATCTTGCATGAGGAGCAAGTCCTCATTGCCTTCCACGCCCTTAAAGACGAAGCGTCTAGCTTCGCCAGATCATTTGCCCGCGCTGCCCAATGTGACAATAATATAAGATCACTCCCCTAGGTGAATTCCTCAAGTTACTCTGCGAGCGGTTTGCAAATGTCACTAGGGGGATTAAAACCTCTGATGTGCAAGAGCTAGAAGTATTACAGAGAGGCACCGCAGCGTTGAACATGGCCGACCACGCTAACATCTCATGTACAGGACTTGTACTTATAACGTGTTGAAAAACAGTTCCGTCATTACATGTGTAACATTCTTGGTTTTATTTTCTCGTTTTTGTGTAAATGGGGTTAGCTAGCCCCTGAGAATGCTCTGTCCAGCAGGATTTGAGCTCATGGTCTGTTCATCAAGAGTCACATTTGCATACAACTCGGCCATTGGACAGGTACGTGTGTGCACTGTTCATCCACCAGGCAGTTATAAGATGACAACGACTTCGTTCGGGACCATGAGAAATCAATGCCAGAATTCAGGGCCGAGATCCCATCAGAAAGAGTCAAGAATTACTGACTGTAGATAACAGACATCGAAAGTGAGTTTCTACCCAACTGAATCTCGACTCTGAGACACCGGCATGCCGTGCTAACTCCAATGCTAACATCCAGCCTATATTTATGGTGGCCGGAGGAGGAGGAGAAGGCGAAACAGAGATAGGAACCTCTCTGTGCCAAGGAAAGGAAAGAGGGGAGCGGGGGGGGTGCACAGTAGACCTCCCCTGCATCCTTTATGTGTATTGAAAAGATGAGAACCCCGAAAGACAACGGTGCTCTATTGTTTAGATAATTTTTGACAGACAGGGCACCGCAGGTCAGCAGTTTCCGAGGATTGATATTAGACAAAATGTCAAGATGTCAGCAACACGTGAGCTTAAAATCTCTCCCATTAAGTTGAAAATGTGTAGTGCCAAGCATGTGCGCATTGTTGCTAGTTGTGTCTCTCTTCGACAAGGAGCTGAAAGGTGCAGACAATAGCATATGCACGTTCTCTCTCTCTCTCTCTCTCTCTCTCTCTCTCTCTCTCTCTCTCTCTCTCTGTGTGTGTGTGTGTGTGTGTGTTGTTTTAAAGGATTCCAGCTTGTCTCTCTCATTCCGTTCACAGATCATCACAAGCCATCCATAACGAAAAGATATACATAGGCAAGTGTGTGTGTGTGTGTGTGTGTGTGTGTGTGTGTGTGTGTGTGTGACAAACACACGGTCTTCTCTCAGCAGTCCTGCCGTACTCCAAAGTTGGTGATGATACGTTTGTTATTCCTTATACACTGAGTTCATGTCACGCTCACAAATTCTGATCTACTATCTCTTTGTGCAGAAGTGTGCAGAAGCTATTCCAGCTGAATTAAAAGCAATCTGGAAAGGGCATTAAGGCAATGGACATGGAAACACTCGTCCAAAGCTCGTGATCGTCGAGAGCTGGTCATCGTCTATAGTCTTTTGACTCTTTTCTCTTATTTCCTTCCGCGTATGAGCTTGTGTGTGTGTCTGTGCATACAATGCGTGAGAGACACAGCCGGACTGAGGCACACGGAGAACAAGGGAAGTAGGAAGGAGAGCGTGGATGGAATTACAGTCCTGGGCGCACCTTCACATTCAACAAAAGCTTGCCCGTCGCGCAGTTTCGCCATCTCGTCCTCGTGCTTCTTAAATCTGCTTTGCAAGGCACTGAGCTCTTGCTGCACCTGCTGGAGAGAAGACGGGGAGTGTTTCACACTGTGGTCGCGGGTACCACACACAGGTTCCGGTCCGACGTCTGCTTCCATCTCTCCCCTGGAAAGGGTAGAGTGGCCGGCCATGTCTTCCAGTGGCTGGCCCGTTCTCCGTCGCCGTCTGTCCGTTTCCGAAGCCTGAGTGCGGAAACGTTCTCTGGTGGACATGGCTGAAGAGACAGATTCTCCGTTCTCTCTACAACGCTCTTTCTCTTGCTCACCACGCTGAAAACATCGATCCGGTCCCTCTCCTTCTCCTCCTGTCCCTTTCCCTCCTCCATGCCGTCCTGCCGAGGGTGCAGACGCTCCTGATGGTGAGGGCGAAGATTTCAGTGTCCGCAGATGGCACAAGAACGGAGCGCGCCTCCTATCTGACACAGAAGCATTGGAAGATGCCGGAGCGGACGACCTGTTGTTTTTGGCAACATGGCCACCATCTTGCCAATGAGGAAGATCAGGTGATGCAACAGACGGACCGGCGACGTCATCGTCGAACATCCGCACCGTCACACTGACGCCGACTTTGTCATGGCCGGGTGAACGATCTCTTTCGCCAGACCGAACCAGTCTGCTCTTGCTCTTCTTCATGTTCGAGACTCTGCCATCTGCGTCTCCTTGTGGATCACAAAACGTCGGGCCCAGCAATTGCGAGAATAATTGATCGAGTCCTGTGCTTGTGTTGTCCACTCCATCATCACTGCTGCTCGGCGAGCTTCCGTTCCTGAGCAAAGCCTTGGTTGAGGGCATGGACATGCGCCTGACGACTGTCTCTTTCCTCAATAGCAAGGGACGCAGACGTCCCGCCAGGCCATTGGTGCTACCCCTGCAGCTTTCGGGTACCGCACCTGCGATGTTGCCCACCCCTCCCAGCGCCGCCCAGTGTTGTTCCCCTTGTTTCTCTTTGGGTGCCGTGGTGTCCTCCGCCTGCTGCACACTCACCATATCCAGAGATCGCAGTGGGCAACCAGATGGCAATGCCAACCCACTCCTCTCCGCCGCGCGGGAGGCTCTGTCTGCACAGCCTTTGAGGGGATGAGCAGCCGCTGTAGTTGTGGAAGGGGAAGCCTCCGCGGAAGCCAAAGGCTCTGTGAAGCCCAAAGCTGAAGTGGAAGTGCATGCGGACGCGAGAGCGGAAGCGGGGGCGGAAGCCGAGGCGGATGCGGAGGCAAAAGTGGAATTCGAAGCGGAAGCTGAAGCCGGAGCTGAACCGCCTGAAGGAGGACGGGGCAGTACAGCCGCAATAGAATTTGCCCGCCAACCAGTGTTGGGCCAAGGCCCGATTTCTCCCCCCGACCTCTCAGGGGATATGCTCACTGATCGCGTCCTCTGGATGCCGTCACCCCTACCGTCCCGAAACACATCGCTCGGTCGTGCAGGCACGAAGCTCCCGAACGGCAGACTGCCGTCCCTCTGTTGGAGCTGCTGAATCAGTGCTTGCGCCATGTCCTCCATATGCCATCCACCATTCACTCCTCCTCCTCCTGCAGCTGCTGTCGTTCCCACTCCCCCACCAAGTCCACCAATCCCTCCACCTGCAGCACCGTTGAAGTCCGACCCTTTTCCGTCCGCGCTAAGTTGGGAAGATGTGGTGTCGAAGGAGGCTGCAGCCACGTGTCGCGGGGACCCTTTCCCACTCCCCGAGCTTTCGAAATCCTTCGCCTCCGTCGACCCCTTCTGCCAAATCGAATGCGAAAGGGGAGGGTACAGAGGCCGACACGCTCCGCAAGAGTTGCAAGTGATGACGATAGGAAACACTGCCGGGGGATTGAAAGCAGGGTAGTGATGCCGCGGTCGCGATTCCTCCTCATCTTCAGGCTTCTGGCACCCAAGGAAGACACAAGCACAATCATTCTGAGTCACTCAATCTCGCAATGGGCAGTTTATGATGCACAAAAGATTCATATGCACGGCATCAAAACCAATCCTAAGCACACGTCAACACAAGGAAACTAGCCATCGACAAAAAGAGCACGGTGCTCAAGTGCAAACTGATCGCGAAGGAAGAAAGATTGAAAAGAAAAACCCAGATGGCAAATCCTGGTGGTCAAGCTAAGAAGAGCCACGGCGGACACGAAATTGGGATCACGTCCATGAACGGCGGCATTCGGGGAGTATCTGGTCGTTCGTTGGCACACTGTTAATATGCCCATGCTCACACAAACGATGCTTCTGTGTAACTATCACACACGCACACACACACACACACACCCCTTTGGCGTGGTCAACAATATATATTTTTATCCGCGTTGCCAGGCAAGTACTAATACATCTCTGCATGTAGCGACGTGGAGATGCGCCGTGTCTTTCTTGCTTGCTCGATTGTCTCCCCTACTGTTTCACGAACTCCACTTTCGATGTAGTAGTCTAAATGACCATGAGCGCTGATCCGGTCTATTTTGGCAAAATTCCTAGCTTACGAGCGATCCTCAACCTCGTTTTCCTCCTCCTCTCTACCTTTCTTTGCGATGCGGTGGTCGTTGTCCTTCATGCTTCTCCTCCTCATTCCTCCAAGGCAGGCAATGGTTTTTCTCCATCCTTCAGGCTGCCGTTTTCACATCATCATAGTCATGCACAGTAAGGATTTCAAGTGGTATATCGTCGGATCCATAGCATCGCTCGGCTGGCGAAGTCCCAGAAGTATGCGCGCTTGTTTTCACTTCGACGATCCATGGACATAGCAACGCCGTTTCGCTCACTACTCCCCGATAAGAGCAAGGACGAAGCTGGTGCTCTTCAACTCGGAAAACTGCAACGACGTTCAACCGGATATTCTGCATCTAGTGCATGTCATTGAGTTGAGATTCTATCATATACAGGATTATCAAACCACTCCCACATACGACGGAGAAAAACAAAAAAGAACAGAAAAAGAATGGTGGCCTTAGGACGACCAGTATTCCGGTCAAGATCGTGGCGCGCCTGGTTCGAAATGGTGTTGCTGTACGGTCTGGGATTAAAAGCAAGGAAGAGGACACCAAACAGACGGGAATACTATTCATATAAACGTATTATGGTATTATCACTGCCGTCCCTCCGCGAATAGAACGGACGCGCATTATCCCGCGGCTTTTCCGCCCGTGAACGGGTCTTCGCTACAACAATAATGCATAGGGAACAAGGCAGTCATGATTCATGAGGATAGGCACGTTCCTATTCGGCCGGGAACTAGCCGATGAACAGAGCTCGTGCGTAAGACCAAAAAGGCTGTCGGGATCGGCAGGTTCGTCATCTTGGTCCAAAAAGGCATGCTGGTAGCATGGATTGCCCGTAGCTACATCTGACCTTTTCCTCGTCCGAGACGTATTCTGACATGGCGTCCGCCTTCGTCTTCTCTAAAATGCGAGAGGCTGCCAACTTGACCCTGGCTGCGGCGTCCATCAGTCGTACAAGCTCTTCGGGTCTCTTGTCCCCCGCCTGCAGAACAGTGAGTGAGAAACAGACATAAGGACACTAAGCAAGAACCGAAGAAGGAAAAAGCGGAAGAAAGAAAGAAAGGAAACAGCTGCACAACAGATGGCGACACACACACACACAGACAGAGAGGAGATTGTTGGTTCAGGTACGGGCGACCGACGGGGAAACGAGAGGGACAGCCGGCCAAAGGCAGAGACAGTGCGGGCAAGTTGAGGGCAACCAGCCACACTGGACGACGGCAAGGCAGGTAGCAGGCCGATGGTGAGGGGAAAATGGCATTCAGATGGGAGATAGACAGACAGTTGGACAGACAAGCGATGGATGAGTCCATGCAGACGACCTGCGAGATGCCGTAGCTTTGCGCAATCAGCCATCGGGGCCTTAAATGAAATCGTCCTGCTCTTTCCCGATTGCCCATCATCCTCTACTTCCTCTGCCAAAGGTGCATTCTTCACTTCGATGACAGTGCTCTTTCGTCCTCTTGAATGACTTTTTTCTGCTTACCCATTTCAACAGATTTATGCACGGCGTCCATTGCCGTCGAACCCGCTCGTCTCTCCACATTGAAGGTTGGTTCTCTTTCTCTCTCTCTCTCTGTGTGTGTGTGTGTGTGTGTGTGTGTGTGTGTGTGTGTGTGTGTGTGTGTGTGTGTGTGTGTGTGTGTTTGTGTGTGTTTGTGTGTGTTTGTGTGAGGAGACCGGCGGATGCAACGTGATCAGGACACTGAAGAGCCGCTCTAAATATCGCACCCCACATCAGGCTATACGACTTATGCAACCAAATACCCATTGTGTGTCTATATATATGAAACAAATGTAAATCGAAACCACATACTCGATACGAAATGAAGGCAGTTCTGTTCTCCTTCTAGTCTAAGCATACCCTGGACGAACATGATCAGCAACAAATACGCTATGTTCGCGAATATTTCAAGATGCACCGACGTCGATGGAGTGCAACCCATCAGGTAACGAAGGAACTTGACTATGACCTGAATATTACGCAGATTTATATCCGAACGAAAATGATCCCTCGGATGCATCTTCGCCGCTGATACCTGCAAACAAAAACAAGGGGAGAACAAAAAGAGGGGGAAAGAAAGTAGGGGCATAATCACGAGCAGCCGATTTCCGACTTTTATTTACATAAGAAAACAGCATGCGAAAAAGGTTCAAAAAGTTGTATGCACAAAAAAAAACACAACGCATAGAAAATGTACGAGGTCGATTCCAGGCCCTTTTATTGGCTGGTAGTTTTTAGTTTGTGCATGTAGTTTTTCTTTTTCATTTGATTACATAGTTTACAGTCCCTACATAATCACGAGCAGCCGATTTCCGACTTCTATTTAAATATAAGAAGAAACCAACATGCGAAAATGGTTCAAAACGTTGTATGCATAAAAAGAAACACAACGAATAGAAAATGTACGAGGTCGATTCCAGGCCCTTTTATAGGCTGGTAGTGTTTAGTTTGTGCATGTAGTTTTTCTTTTTCATTTGATTAACAGTCCCTACATAGTTTACAGTCCCTAATATTTCATGCATGCCGAGGACAAGCCGTGCGCACCCTTCCCGAAATTGGAAAATGGCTGAACTTTTTTCTCAACAAGAAAAAGAAACAGAGATGGACGTAGGATACCTGCATCCATTTTCAGACGAAGCTGCCTCGTACCTCCAACGATATGACCGGATCCTTGGATGCGGTGGAGACGGACCACGGAGAAGTACCTGCTCGAGCAAGTTTGGAAGGCGGCACCCTCCCTTCCAAGCTGCTCATCTTCAGACCAGCGTCCATACCCTGCCACCAGCCCTCCATCATCATGCCGTTGTTCCGTAAGTTCCCGAGACTGGTTCCCCACCTGCATGTGTTCGTGCCACGCAAGTTCTCATGCGTCAAAATACCTCTCTCTCTCTCTCTCTCTCTCTCTCTCTCTCTCTCTCTCTCTCTCTCTCTCTCTCTCTCTCCCCCCTACACACACACACACACACACACACACACACACACACACACACACACACACACACACGCACGCACACACACGAACGCACGCACGCACGCACGCACAAACCGACAGAATTGTTGGTAGTCGTATTCTGCGGGCATAACTCTACAAGCGTGTCTTCGAGGAAACTGCCTTCAACATGCCGTCACAGAGCTCCACCACAGTCTACTTGCACTCGCGTCTGTAGGCGAAGTCGGACGTACAATGTAAATCAAATAAATGGGGAGCCTTCAACGACCGTTTTCGCGAGTGTATTATGGTCGTGCTCGGCGTTTACGCCATAGGAAGTCCTCCGCAAGTTTCCAATTGCATACATGATTTGATCCGCCACGTCGCTGGTCACGAAATCAAGGCGTCGGAGAAGTACGCACCTTGTGGATGATAGCGCTGTCTACGTGATGCATGTCCCTCCCCAATTTCAGAAGCAATCAATCGACAAGGTGAAGCGAAGTGTGGCCTCCTGCCAATTTTAATGACCAAAGAGGCCCCCTGACTTTCGGATTATTCCTTGCGAGGACAGTGCGCCGCAGTTATCGCCAGGCCTTCGGTTTCGTAAATCAAAGTCATTGGGACAGTAAAAAGTACTATTTGCCTCTTTCCTCTAGCCAAATTCTGTAATAATACGAGTTCATAATAATTCTAAAACAACTGAGTACGCTGTCTCACGGAGGCTCTTCTTGGATCCGATCACCCAGTAACATGCTTGAAGGAGAAGAAATTTGGAAATGAAGGAGACGATAGGAGTCGGAACGCGAAGAGACTGAATCACAGAATATAACACCATGGAACAAAGGGGAGGGCACTAGGCAAAGATTTGGTGAGTCAACGCACCCGAGCTATAATCGCTTACGCACGCAATTCCATTTCAAAATCAAACCAACACAAGGGACCACAGAAGTACACCAGACAGACAAGATCCCCCGAAGCGCACTGCGCGATAAGGTCAACGCGCTTGTTTGTGCAACGGATTACGTGGATGGTGAATATATCAGGGTGGACATGTATTTGCCGATGGTGGAGGAAGAAGGGGTGGAAGAGGTAGAGGGGCGGTTACCCCCTGAAGAGGCTGTGGTCACAACCGAAACGCGTTGGGGCGCCTGATCCGGAGCGGAAGTCTATTGTTTTGCCTCCTTATGCTTTGATCCACTACGACTTCACGTGATTGTACTTGGGATTACGTGGTTAGTGTTTGAGTGTGTCTATCATGTTCGTCGTTGAATACAATCTAGATACGTAGGACTGGAGCAGCATAAGCGGGCTCGAGATGTTTGGTGTCGTGCTAACCTGTTGATCCTCTGATTTGTATCGAGCGTGCATACCTTGACATTGCCGTATTACGTGTGGATGTTTGGACTGCGTAGACAGTACCAAGGATGTTTTTACGTATCATGCTGCAGGGTGTAATCAAGCTCGAGATTACGGATTGCTTTGTGTCGTCCTTGTTGTGCCGGAGGACGAAGGATCGTACGTACGCATATGAGAAGGACGGACTCGGGTTTGGATATTGTCTAAGCATGTGCGAGCGCTGAATCGTCATATAAATTAAAGTAAATATCTTACGAGTATTTGTTCACTTAATTCATGAGACGGATTGATACATCGATCGCGTCAGATTACCATCAGTACTGACGATACAAGAAGGACGAGGTCTTGAGCAGCCAAAAGTTACTTGTTCCTTACACTACAGCAAAGCACATTGCCGATCATCACACGAGAGCAGATGAGAGTGTGCGCAACACACAACCATTTGCAACTAAATTGATGTTGAAAATCTTAGTCCGCGATTCGAATGTTTCTGAAAGTCCTCGCAAACGTCCACCCCAACGTGCAAACCTAAAGTATATACTTACCACGAAGGGGTCATATGTGCCCTCTCTCTCTCTCTCTCTCTCTCTCTCTCTCTCTCTCTCTCTCTCTATCTATCTATCTATCTATCTATCTATCTATCTATCTATATCTATCTATCTATCTGTGTCTGTGTGTGTGTGTCTGTGTGTGTGTGTGTGCGTGTGTGTGTCTGTGCGTGCGTGTGTGTGTGTATGTGCGTGCGTGTGTGTGTGTCTGTGCGTGCGTGTGCATGTGTCTGTGCGTGCCTGTGTGTATCACTCGGTCGCTGTCACTGATACAGCACAGTCCGATTACAGGGGAACAGATCCCTAGCTATTTTTGGGACCAAGGAGACTTCTGGACTTCTTCTGAGTTACATAAGGAGCTATCGAAGCTCATTCACCTGTGGTCAGGTAACGGCGTTCCAGTTCCAGTCTCGGCATCTCAGATACCAACTTACAAGCGAGCAAGCGTTCGAATCCGAATTCTTTACACTCGGAGACATGTTTGTGTTTCTTCTACGTAGGTGGGCCTTCTGCACAGACATCCTGTTCACAGAATAGCTGATGAAGTTATACCGCGATAAAACAGAGACCCAGCAAATGGATGAGCAAGTTGCCCTTGCCGGTTGTTTGTCTGACCGTGAGCCTCCTGGCGATACACGTCCACTTTCCGAGCAACAGATCGTCTGGTCCGGTGGATGAGTCATCGACAAATACCAATCAAACCTACCTTGTGCAACCATTCACGATCACTGCTTCTCCAACTATGAAAAACAGTCGAGGAATCCGGAGCTTACCCTCCCAGGCAGAGCAAAACGCAACATAAATTCTGGTGCTTCCTCTTCTTTATCTTTTTTTCCTATTTCTTCCTTCATGCATACACCTTCCTCCGACCGGTCATTAGGGAACCACTTAACCATTAGACCATCTCGTTTGAAACTACATGGCTCCCATTGCGCACCTATCTCTCTCTCGATCGATCGATCGATCTCCGAAGCCAACCCGAGAGAGGCTTAGTGGCACATGACAAATAAGGATAACGAAAGGAGAGGATCCGAACAGAGAAGAGAAACACGAGTTTGAAACAAAACACAACGTCGCCTCCAAGAGCATACGATGCGCATCGCCAGAAGATAATAGAAACGCATCCTCGAGGACGGATGGGATTGATGGATGGGATGGATGGGATGGATACGATAGATGGATAAATATGTCTGATTCATCTATTCATGTAATTCACCATCAGTGATTACGAGTACGTGGCCTCACCTGAAATTGGTGATTCATGTCTCGTTCGAGCTCGACCGTTTTCTCAAAGATCAGTTGGGAGAGCGACCCAGAGCCGGATCGTGCGCGCGACCCCGGTGACACTCCTCTGCATCCGCATACCTGTCACTGCCGCCACGAGCAGCCGCAGCCGTAGCGGACCACGACTCCACCATATGCGCCACCCTCTCAGGGCCTAGTTGCACTACTCACCATCCGTCACATTTCGTGGCGGATCCGTGGAGAGTGAAAAATATGAGAATCGTGTCGAACTCGAGGCCTGGTTGCACGTACTCGCCACGAGATTTCTTCTACAGAAACGTTAAAAAAAATTATCCCCTATGTCGACTCGTGAAGCCCTGCACTCTCCAGAAAGCTGCTTTGTGGCGAGGTCCGAAGACCACCCTCCACAAACCGCCGTGCACAGGCGGGGAAACTGAATTCACTCTCCACAAGTTGTGTCGACGGTGTGGCGAGCCGTCTGACACATTTTGCATTCGCCAAGTTTGGCGAGTAAGTGCAACCAGGCGCCTACTCGCCAAACTTGGCCTATGGCGGTAGTGCAACTAGGCCCTCAACACCCGTTCGCACTTCTATGCCCTACCACACAGCAGCACAGCAAGATGGGCTTTCGATTTCGCCCCAGCGCAGCGCAGCGAGTTCGATCCCAGCTGACAGAGTGACAGGGCAGCGGCTAATGAGCGAGGGCAAGGGTTGGTCTTGAGAAATCCTGTGAGCTGACAGGGTGACACAGTGACAGGGCAGCGGCTCACGAGCGAGGGGCAGCGAGTTCGATGATGGTATACACACTGCAAATGGAGAAGCGAGTGTGTTCTAACCACTGATCTGAAGGCATCGATTCGTCCTGCTCACCCCTTCCACGTCAGCTGGGCAGGAGCACGAAGCTGAACCACGCACAGGTCTGAAAAGGATGAACTGGTCCTGCGTGGCATGGGCTGGGGAAACGGTCGATTTGCTAGATCTTCGGGACGACTCCGCAAGATCCGCCGCAGATTACACTAGTTCAGCCACGAGCACTCCACGACCTAACGGCACTTGATTCGGTGCTCTACCAAGAGGCATTGCGTGCGCGTGCGAGTGAGATAGAACAACAGGTATGGGTCGCGTTACGGGCACTCCAGCCCCGCGCGCAGATGAAAAAGAGAAGGAGACAGTACGTGGGGCCGCGGGGTTGGGGGACGTGGGGCCGAGGGGGGCGGGAAGGTGTCACAGAGGCATATGCATTGGCTATGCTTTGGCAGAAACCGTTGCGCAATCGTTTCCCGAAAGTGCCACGTCTGCATGCATCTCCTCCCGAACTCGTCCTCCCCGTTCCTCCTTTCCCATCCGTCTGTTGTGACGTCTTCTTCCCCCTCCTCCCCAATGATGCAACCAACAGCAGTAGAGAATATGGACAGGTTCGCCAGCTCTGAGAATTGAGCGCGCCCGGGCGGGCAAACAATCAGATCCTTACTCATTCCTTTCCTGCAGCTGTCATGAGAATGTCTATTGTTCCCTTCCCGTACACGAAACACGCTAATCAATTTTCGACTGTTTTGTTTTCAACAAGCAAGACACCCGTCTCGTTTAGCTCTCCGTAATACTATAATGACAATAAAAAAGGCCTGTCCAGGTTTTTTCTTTTTGTGTGGGCCCAGTGCCCAAGACTTATGAAATTAAGAACCTGAGGCCGGGGTCCTCACAATTCTACCCGGGTCACGTGACGTATCCAGTAACAAAAGTATTCACTTCTTGGAGCCTTACCCAGTGTTGGCCTTTTACAGGACCCAAAGGGACCCGACTACTAACCTACTCACCCCCTCCTACCTCTACACAAGAGCCTATCACCGCGACTAAAGAAGGTGCACCATTCTAATCTAACTCTAAATCCCACAAACAGAAAGACACCTAACACTTCATAACGAACCCAGGAAGACCCCATCTAGATCTAAGCTGCAAGACCTATGTCCTTCAAACACAAAAAAACACAGGCGGAGCATCAACCATAGCTAAGAGATGGGCTGTTTCAGCTCTAGGGCCTAAAGAACGACCCTGACAAAAATATAAAAAGAGAACTTCAGCGTAGGCCGGGCCTAAAAGCGGCCATACTCAGTTTGATTGTCCAGAAAGTAACCACCCGCAAATTTCCAGAGTGCCCTCTGTCGAAACTGTTGCGAAGGATTTGTTCCTAGCCCAAGTCTTGTCAAACCAAAATCTATTCTTCCTGGCTTGAAGCTTGGCCTGTTGCCAGTCTGACCTGATTGCCAACCGAACAAGACTTTTAATTAAACCCACTAAACCGTGAAAGGACATCAGCTCCTTCATAAAGATAGCACTAGCTAAGCGCCCGCATTGTGGGCGGTGGGGGCCATGCCCGCAGAAATAAGATTAACTGGCTACAAAGTCCAAGTTTAATTCACGAATTAAAAAAATAACAAACAGAAGAAAAGAAAAAAAAAGTAAGAAAAAAGACGAGAAGAGACAAAGATAGACAAAAAAAAAAAAAAAAAAAAAAAAAAAAAAAAAAAAAAAGAACGAACAAAAAAATAAAAAAAAAAGTTTGATGTGAAGATTTTTTGTTTCATTTAAGTAAGCAAGTAGCCGCGGTATGATCAAGGCACAATTATTGCGTAGTGGAATC